AGCAAGATTTGTGACCCCTTCTGTGTCACTGGAATGTGCTGCCAGTGTGACTGTTTTCTAAAGAAAACTCTGGAGCAGCTCTCACAACTCAAAATCTCTGGTCAGTGAGCTGCCTGTAAAAAGCCAAGACTCTGCAGAGCTGGCACAGCCTGCAGCTCAAGGCTCTCTCTTCCCTCACCACCCCTGCTGCCTCCCCAAGCACGCAGACCTCCTTTCTCTTCCATGCCTTACGCACCTTGCCTGGAATGTAAGTCTCACCCTCACCCCTCAGGCCTCACCCAGAGGCCACTTCCCCTAATGGGAAGCAGCACCGGAAGTCACTCTGCTTGAAGAGCAGGCCGTGCCCTTCTCCACAGCACCTAACTGAAGTGCAGTTATCTGTGCATTCGATTGGTGAACCGATCCTGCTTCAGTATGTAAGAGAAGACATGTGTGCTCTGCGTCCATCTCCTCAGAGCTGCCCAACAGACGCGCGCTAAAGACACGCACTTTAATGAGGTTGACAACACCAGTCCATTCTGCAAACCTTGTTAAGCTCGGGGGGCATTTTCCATGGCGAGGTCTCCGACTGAGGGCTCACCTGGAGGAGCGTCTGTGGCTCTCCCTCCTCCTCTGGAGGAGCAATGCCCTCGGTCACTCGGGACTCCCAGAGAGCAGGCTGAGCCCGAGTGTTTCGTCTCTGTTTAGCATAAAGCATCCATGCTGCCTACAGGCGGCAGGTGCTCTCTGCTCCCGGCCTCGGGATTCCCGTGAGTGCCTCCTTGGAGGTCAGGCGGCCTCTGGCGTGCACCTGGGACAGGAGTCGCTTCTGAGTGCTGTGGGAGCACCCACCGTGTGAGTGTCCCGAGGCTGCCAGAGGACAGTGCCACTGCCCGGGCTGGGATGATAGAAATGCCTTCTCTCCCTGTTCTGGAGGCTGAAGTCTGAGATCAAGGGCTCAGCAGGCAGGTTTTGCAGACAGAAGTGCCTTCTCACTGCCCCTCATGTTGCCTTCCAGTGGATGCATCCGAGGAGCTCTGCTCCTCACATGGGGCTCCACCCTTAGGACCTCATTTAACCTACTGTCCCTTTGAAAGGCTCATCTTCGCCTTTCACCCCCCTAGGGCTTAGCACTTCGCCCTCCCATGGAGGGATGGACAATTCAGTCCCTAACACTACTGACTCACAGATTTAAACCACATCCCCCAGACAAATGCATCAGATGCATTTATGTCTCTCTCAGATCTGACCTCAGGTAGGGATGGAAATACCATATTCTGGGCCACCAAACACCCTCATATTGATTTAATGTCATTCTGCCAGTCTATTTCTTTTGATTAGTGAGTTGAGACCATTAGCATTGATGGTTATAACTGATATGTATTGACTCATCCTTGTCATGTTATTTTGTTGTTGTTGGCTCTTTTATTTTTTTATTTTCCCCCTTTCCCTTTAATTTCTTGCCTTGCCTGATGGCTTTGGTCTGTTGGTGCTCATGGAGTTGTGACCCTCATTGTCTTTTTCTAGGATATTGCTTAGAGTTGTGTGGACTGCTGGTTTGGTGTTCATGAAGTTTCTCAGGTGTTCTTTGTCATGGAAGTATCTTATTTCCCCATCAATTTTGAAAGATAGTTTTGCAGGATACAACAGTCTAGGTTGGAAGTTATTTTCTTTTAGGGCTTAAAATACCTCACTCCATGCTCTCCTTGCCTTGAGGGTTTGCATTGAGAAGTCTGCCGTGATTCTGATGGGCTTTGCTTTGTATGTGATTTCTTTCTTTTCTCTAATTGCTTGTAGGATTTTGATCTTCTATTGGGTTTCCAGGATCTTGACTATTATTATGTCTAGGTGTAGACTTTTTTCTGTCATGGCTAGTTGGGAGTCCTACATGCCTCACTTATCTGTATGTCAAATTCTTTTCCTCTGTTTGGGAAGTTTTTGGTCATTAATTCTGTGAACAGTTTTTTATGTCAATTGTGATTTCTCCTGCTTTTTGTAGACTCCTATCAGTCTTACATTATTCTTCTTTGCATTATCTAGCAGCTGCTGGATCGATTTCTCATGGTTCTTTACTATTTTTAAGAAATCTCTCTTTTCATGGTCACTAACCGCAATCCTGTCTTCTATATCTGATATTCTATCTTCACATTTGCTCAGTCTGATGTGAATACTTTCAGTGGAGTTTTTAATCTCCTGAATATCTGTTTGAATCTGTTTCATGGATTCCATTTCTTTCCTATGTTGGGCATTCATGGTTTCCATTTCTTTCCTATATTAGTCGTTCATGGTTTCCATTTCTTTCCTATGTTGGGCATTCATGGTTTCCATCATGGTCCTGAGCTCATCTATTTTTTTATCTGTTTCTGTTCTAGAGTCTCTAACCATGTCTTTTACTCTGCCCAACATCTCTGTAGTTATCTGGGAAATTATTTCTGTTTTGAATTTTTCTAGAGCCTCATTCATCTGTTTTACTTCCTGTGCTATCAGTTCAGGGAGTCCAGGTGGTTGATTATCAGATTTTTCCACCTCATTTTCCCCAGAATTTGCCTTTGGTGGTCTAGAAGTCTAGGTTTGCACCTTCCTTAAATGTTTTCTCATTTCTAATTTTGTTGGTGGTGCTGTTTTTTGGTTTAATTCCTGGGCTGATACTTCAGTATTGCTTATTGTGAGTATCTTTATTACTTGTGTTTAGAGGCCTTATGGAGCTCTCAGAGATATCTTCCAGGTATAGCTGGCCTTTTTAGGCTTTGAGTCTCTAATGACTCTTAGTCAATCAACCATGGTGGTCCAGTGTGCCTTTAGTGCAGAGATTCTCTTCACTTTCCCAGTGGGCTTCAATTTTCATTGAGGAGCCTCAGAGAGGCCCTCTCTGTTGTTCACTTCTGCTCTATCTTCTGGGGCTCATAACCATGGCCTTTATGGCCCCTCAATGCCTCTGCAGTTTGGATTCAGATACCGTGCAGCCCGAGCGGTGGCGAGCTCCGAGCACACGGTGATGGCATTGGCAGGACGGAGGTTCTGACATTGGTTTAATTTCAGAAGCAAAGGAAATCAGCAGCCCCTGACCCAGCACAGCCACCCCAGCCCCTCCATGCAATGCCCTTTTTAAACCTGAGTCTTCCTGAGGCCTATGTGACAAGGCCTCATTACAGGTAGCTTAGAATCCTGTTACTGCACCCATTTTGCCGATGAACAAAGAACCTCCCTAAGGTCACAAAGCCAAAATTAACATCCACTCTATTGAAACCCAGTTAAACGTGAACATCACACTGAAACAAGTTTGAGCAGTTGTTCCCAAAGTATGGGAGCAGCACAAGGAGCTGTCACCAGGTGAAACCTCCAGGTGATGAGGGCTCCGTGTGCAGTAAGAACACGGTGAGGAGGAGCAGCACACAGCCGTGACAAGCCTGCGCTCTGGAATTCATGGACAAGGATGGCCAGACATCAACTCAAATCAAGATTATTTTCTAGGCACAGCTCAATCGGTTGGGCATTAGCTCCTCTCATCCAAAGAAGAGAATAGATCCACCCTTCCTAGAAACCCCAATTCTCCCTTCTAATGAGCTTTCCTGGGACATGTCATGCTCTGCTAGCAAAGCAGAGTAGAAAGATCACTGATATTCACATTCACGGAGCACTACACGCCAGCCCTGCTGTCAGCCCTTCACCTGAATTAGCACATTTCACATCGACATGCGTCAGATCTCGCTTTTGTGAAGAGGGACAGAGGCACGCAGCTGAGTGGCTTGCTGGAGACCAGGCTTAGCAGTGTGGCTCCTGCAGCCCACCCACTTTGGCCTCCCGCGAGGCTCTGAAATCCAAATCGCCCACACTGGGGCGACTGTCCCGGTGCACAGCGGGAGGACAGCTGTGCCGCACTCCCAGGAGTCTGGCCTGCGAGTCACTAACCCTGCCTGGCCTCAGTCCCACGAGGCATAAAGTGGGAAGGCAGCATCACTACACAAGGAGTCTGGGTGGTAACTAACGGCCCAAGTGCACATAAACACAGAAGTCCTACGCCACTCCTGCCACACGGTCAGCGCCCTAAATAGGCACCACTGACCATTTGAGAATTTTATAAGGAAGATGCATTCCTTCAAAGCCAGCAAAAGGGTGAAAACCCTCCCATTCAGCAATGAGTCCTCTCTTGCCACTTGTTTGCGTACTGGGACCTGGACGCTCCCACTGAGCAAGACATTCTCAGCAGTCTGCACTCCCCTGGGTTCCTGTCTCCTCCAAGCAGGTCTCAATGCACCCTCCTGACACGATGATTAAGTTTCCTGGCAGGGGAGACAACACCGGCAGACTCAGACTCGAGGAAGGGCTGCTGCTGCTGCTCCTGCAGGCGTCTCGTGCGAAACTAAGAACAGCCTTCCGCGGAGCGGGCGCTGTGGGCCCTGCCGCAGAGCGCCGTGGAAGGGCCAGCCTGCCTGCATGCTGCTCTCTTCGGCCCCACCCTCGCCCTGGGAAGCACTTGCAAGCTCCCCTGCCCGCCTGTCTCCTGCCTCCCTGCCTGGCTTTGGCCTCTTCGTCTCATTCTCCCAAGCGGCGCTCCCCAAACGCCCAGGGTCACTTCCGCGACTGCAGCTCCACCAGAACACTGTCGCTGCCGTCTCCCAGCGCTTGGCGTGTGGCAGGTGCCGCGGACGCCTCATCTGGTCTCGCCGGCCATCTCTCCTGATCTAGATGCAGAGCGACACGGCTGAGACAACTCGGGAGGGAGGAGGGGAGCGGCAAGGCCGTCATCCCTTTCCTCTGTGCCCGCCTGTCTTCCTCCAGGCGGCCTCCTCCTCGGGCCCTGGACGCGTCCTCCAGCTCCGGCCGCCTGCCTGTCTCAGCCCGTATGCCACAGCCTGTGCTTTAACAGGAGGAGGGAAGTTTGAAAAGCCAAGTAAGCCAAGCATCTCCTTGCTGGAAACCTTCAGGCTCCTCCTTTCCTTTATGACCACTAGCCTCGTCATTCTACGCTTTGGCTGTCGATTTCCCCGCCCCCGGCCTTAATCCACCGCCCCACCCCCTCCCCATGGTCTGCATTTGGGCTCCATCCGAGTGTCTTGCGTCTCTGGAGTTGGCCTGGCTGTTCCCCCAGCCTGACTCCTCCTCCCCGCGCCCTCTACCCTGGGGAGGAAATAAAGGCAAGGCTCTTGCTTCTCTGCCTCGGATTTCCTGCAAAAGCACATGAATTCCCAGGTAACTGCAGGCGTCCGTAATGCTTCTATTTCATTTTTTTGGTGCATCCAACCCCACAGATGAGGCAGCTGGCCCCAAGTGACCTGCCCAAGTCAGAGATGGAGCAAGCAGCAGAGCTGCGATGCAAGCCACACTCTGACTCCAGGTACTGATCTACCCTGAGCTTTGCCGCCAGGACTTTGGTCAAGGTCACAAACAACAGCAGGTAGACGTGGCTGGCAGGAGGCCTGGTCTAGGAGGAAGAAATTCATCCAGTCAGTTAGGGGCGAGGAACCTTAGCCCGTGCCTTTGAGGGTGAGCGAGGTCAGGAATGGGGCACCAGCTGGAGTGGGTTTCTGCTGTAGGAATCAGGCTCCTGTTGCCTACCTTTGTGCGGCTACATTCGCAAGAGCTGTTTAATTCACGCCCATGGCAAAGCCCTGCAAGACGATACTTCCTTAGCATGAAAGTGTAGCCCGGTCAGCTCGTCCAATCTGAGGCTCCAAAGGGCCACTTGGAGGAGGGCAGGAGGGAAACCTACCAACAACCGAGAAGCCACAGCCCCGAAACGGGGTAAAGGAGCCGGACCGCCTCTCTCCCATCCCCTGCACCCAGCCCTCACCTGCAGAAGTCAGGGAGGTTTGATGAAAACCACAACCGCTCCTCCCGATGAATTACTAGGTCTCCAAAGTCACAAGTCCCTCAAGGTGCAGTAAAACACTCAGCACCTCTTCTGTCTCGGGCCCTGTTCAGCTTAGCATTCTTTAGACTGTGTTCTGCACACACCACACAGCTTGGTCTTTTGCCTTCTTTGTTAGCAGAGCTGCCTTGTTTACCTCTGCCTCACATGGAATTTTCCCTTTGCTGTTTTCATTATGGAAGCAATACATATTTATCAGGGAACAATGAGACCAACAAAAGAACAATGAATGACTCAAACCTCTGTCAGCCTGGCACCGTGACTGATGACCAGATCCGCCACAAGAGCAGAATCCAACCCCTCCCTCCAGGCGGTGACAACGTGAACAGACCAACCGTGTCTGGGCCAGACAAGAGGCCTGGAGTGAGGCAGCCCAGCTTGGACCTGGACTTGGCTGTGCTCCTGACCGCGCTGGCTGTGCAGCCGTCCTTAGTCAGACAGGCTGAGCAGCAAGGGCACTTCGGTCTCACAACCCTGAAGCTCAGGGGTTGCGTAGTGGGATGGTGCCTGGGGGTCTCCAGTCCCTGCCCACCCTTGCAGCGCTGTCATCCTCGGGCAATGGGCAGATGGCACCAGCATCCCCAGACTCAAATCCAGGCAACATCAAAGGGTGAGGTGTTCTTAATAACAGGGAGGACATGCTTTCAGGAGTCCTGGAAGTTTTTCACTTACGCTTGCTTTGATTCCGATTTCTGCATTCTTCTCAGCTAATTCGTGCAGCAGCAGCAGCATGCTCTGCACTGATTTCCCCAGCCTGGCTTCTCCCACCGGAAACTGGGGTACGCTTTCGGTGATTAGCTCAGACTAATCAGGTCCTGCCCCTTGGGAGGTGTGGGGGACATGGGAAATCACAGCAATGGGGTGATCCTACCCAGTTACCTGCCCTCTGAGGATGGTGTCGCCTTGAGTAAAGGGGGAATAGTCACACACACTTAGTGGTGGAGAGCCCATGAGATACCTTGCGTGAAATGACAAAATGCTATGCTTGGCACTTGTGGGGAAGCAGTAAGTAATTACAAGTTTGATGAATCTATTGATTGATTAAGCAGCTTCCTGAAAGTGACAGTGATTAAATAGATTAACATTTTCTCATCCCCTTCTTGCTGGACATTTTGGGGGAAATGATTTTTAAGTCTTTCTGCAGATCAAAAGTTCACCAGAGAAAAAGCCACACTTGAGCAACCAAACCTTGCTTAGCTGATGATGAAGGAAGTCATGCTCTGCGTTTGCACCCAGAATTTTCTGCCTCTTAACTCTGTGACCATTTTTGAAACATGACTGTCTATGCCCAAGTCTCAGCTTCCCTCTCCATTAAATGGGCCACTAAGAGGCAGCACTCATTAAACAGAGTTAGTTGACACTGCACAGGTAAAATCTTATTGAGCCCTTTTTATAGCTCCATCACCATGGCTCTTTTATTTCCCCACTATGAAGATAAGAAAGCAGAGGTACTAGAAGGTTTTGTTACTTGCCTAAAAATGAACATTTAATAAGTACGGAGCCAGGACTTAAACACAGTAGTCTAGGTGCAGAGCACGTGTTCATAATAAGTAAATTTCACTGCCTCTCAGCAATAATAGCCAGTACCCTGGGGGACTCTGCAGTGGCTAAATGACGTAGTGCCCATAAAGTGCTCACCAGGCTCTGTAATCAGGTCCATTAGTAGTAGTAGTAGTAGTAGTCACTTGTGGTGATGAAAGACATTTCTACGTAAGTCCAAATGTCCACCCAACCTTCAGGAGAGTTGTCACTGTAGCTTTGTCCACACTGTGGCTCTGTTGGTTCCTCATTCCCACAGAAAAGCTCCAGTTTCTTCCCCACTGTGCACAGGAACCAATGTGCTTTCTCAAGCCTCCTTGACTCTGTATGCAGGCAGATTGGTAAACTCCCCCTCTTTCAGACTAATCTCTCCTTCCTCCCTGCCCTAGAACCTGGGCAGAGCTCTCCATTAGCACAAGTTGTAACCAGGTTCAAATGCATGAGCTCGTGTATCTGTTTCTCAAATGGTTCTGGGGTGTACCAGATCCTATCCATCTCTCACCCAGTGCTTCATACAGAGCTGGCACATAATATGAACTCAGTGTTCATCTGTTGAATGAATCAGAGACTCACAGAATAAGAACCTACCGAGCACAGATGGTCCTCAGGTTCTATCCTAGGTGCTTCCGAGTTTGCACTGCAGGGATGGTTCCAAAGAAGAAACATGTGATTCAGATGAGCTTAGATGCACAAGAGAGAATCTATAGGATCATGCACCCTGGTCAGTGACTACACAGTGTTTCTGTACACTGCATTAGTTAGGGTTCAGCAGGACAGAATGAATATAAAATATAAATATACAAGGGATTTATTAGGTAGGCTTCAGGATCAGAAGGGGAGGAGTCTCGATGACCCAGTGGTAGAATGAGATTTGGAAGAATCCAAAATGGTGGCCTGTGTGCTGGAGACGGAGCATCCTGCAGCCATCTGGAGCCAAGGTCTGAGGCTCCTGCAGAGTCGCTGGTGTGAATCTGAGTGGGAAGGGAAGGTAAAGCATCCGAGCAGGAGGCCGAAGGACCTGGAGATGAGCGTTCAAAGGCAATGACAAGTCCAGGGCTCCTGTGAAGAAAAAAGGGAGCTCTTCCTTCTCCTTTGCTTTTTTAGTCCATCTGGGCTATAAGCCTATTGGCTGATGACACCCACATCCAAGCGTGTCTTCCCCGCTCGGTTCGCTGGCCTACCTGTCAGTCATCCAGAGACACGCCCAGGCTTGACACTTCACAATTAACGCCCACAGTACACACACATGTAAAAATGTTTTATTCATCTTCTGCATGTGTGATAGCTCAAATTTTGCTTATTTTATTTTACTTTACTTTTAAAGTTTCACATCAAAAGATTACAGGAGGAAAAAATCTCCATGAGAAAACTGCAAAATTAAATCACGACTTTCAAATGATATTTGAAAAAATAAAATGGAATCAAATGTCAGTGTTTCTTTTAAGTGTAGCTTGTGATGCAAATGTCACACATAAATATTTGTAGGTGTCTGGAAGGCGTTTGGAGGTGGAGACTGGGCCAGTCTGTGAGCGCCGTGGTGCAACTAGGGCAGGACCCAGAGTGTTCCGGAATGAGCGGCCTCGGACCCTTGGTGCGGAAGGTTCTTCACCGAGCGCCCTGCGGCTGGGTACAAGTGGCTCCTCTCCAGCCCGGAGAGTCTGGATGAAAACCAAGCCTGCACCGTTCTCTGTGTCTGGGGAAACCACATGGGTATTAAAGGTTAGATCTTCTGAAGCAAAGGAACGTTGGCCTCTCTGGTCATTTTGTACTGAACTCTTTCTCCATAAGACTTTGGTCAAGGCGGAGAAAATCTGCTAACAGGACGGAGTTCCCAGCCGCAGCCCACTTTGACGGCAGCTCCTTCTGAGCTGAGCACCCAGGTCCCGCACTCGGGGCTTAGCGGGGAGGCGGTGCTGCTGGTCCATCCACACTCCCCTTCAGCCCGTGCGCTCCTGCAGGCGCTGCCCTCCTTTCATCCCCCGCCCTCTTTTCATCCCCCGCCCTTTTCCCAGTGCGCAGCGGAGGAGGTGTCCGATCAGTGAGTGCTGGCTGCGCCTGGCTTGGCTGAATTCCTCTCGCGCCTTCACAGCTCCAGGCCTGCGCGGGACTTGGAGACTGAGTGCTGTAGGGAGAGACTCAGGTGCACCCAGTGGGTGCCAGGGGCAGAGAGAGCAGAGCTGTGGTCCGGGCTGCATCTGCATCTTGCAGCTGAGAGAAGAGGGCCGGGGTGAGGGGTGCTCGAGGATGCACCTGGTGAGCAGCAGCTGGAGTTAAAGTGCCTGTCACCTGGCTTGTGCCGGGGCTCCTCCTCCTGGCCAGAGAGAGATGGGGACTCCTCCTGCTCCACCCTGAGGAACTTTCCCAGGCACAGAGTCTGGGAAGGAGAGCAGTCCTAGGGAACGCATTGTGCACTTTCAGCCCTCGGCATAAATACCTCAGCTCAGCCGGGATGCTTCTCACCAGCAGTGATGGGTCCACCCTGGGGCTCTGACTCACCCCTTTCTCAGCTTCTGGGCTTATTTTAGCCCACATTTCTGGAGGAGGAAACAAGAACATGATCAAGGATCCCGCGGGTACAGCCCAAGGCCTCTTGGGCCCCAGCTGCTTTAGAAATTTGCAGCCAAAGGCACCCCCAGCACTGGGGCTGCCAGCCTGGCCAGACTGCAGAGAGGCCCGGAGTTAGGAAAACCTGCCCTTTGGAAAGGAGAAACAGGGCAAAAGACTGGGTCTGATTGCCAACCTAGAGAGAGGTGCTTTCCTCTCCTTCCTGAAAGAGTAGAAGGAGCAAGTTGATTTGAGTCCTAGCTTCTAGTTACAGCTATGAAGCCTGGTTTGGGGGCTCACCTTTCCAAGATTGGGAAGTGGGGTTAGGGAGGGGGTGAGCCTTGGATTGGGTCTGGAGGACAAAGGAGGCAGAAGAAAGGAAGCTGTGTGCGGGCAGAGGACCAAGTGCAAACACATTCCAGTGGCATAAAAGCCCTGCGTGCTCAGGTAGCTGTCAGGAAAGGCTGCGGCCAGGTGACAGGGGAGCTTGGGGTGTCCAGAGGCCCTTCTGGGCCTCCCCATAACACTACTTTTCCCTAAATCCCTCCCTTACCAGAAGTCTTTCCATGTGCCCTGCAGCTGCTAAATCCTGCTGTCCATCTGGGCAGTTTCCATCCCTCCTATGAGCTTTTCTCACTGCCCCAGCTGCAGGGTCCTTCACCTGGCCCCTGGTCCCTTACCATAAGGCCTCCTCTCTGGCCCTCAGCTTTTGTTCTGTGACGCTAGTAATATTTTTGTCTGTAACACAAACACATCATTCATGTGTGAGCTTTCATCACCCATCCACTCCCCCTCCCTGTTCATTTTTTATCGCTAGGTAACAAATTATGGAAAATGTACAGATTTGAAACAGTGCCCACTGAGCAAGCTCTCAGCTCTCTAGGTCACACGTCCAGTGCTGCTTGCTGATTCTCTTCTCTGGATCTCGCAAGGCTGAAATCAAGGTGTCATGGATTCCGTCCCTTGGGGTGCGCTCTAGGAAAGCATCCTCTTCCGACTCAGGGAAGTTGTTGGCTAAAATCAGTTCCTTGAGGTTGTAGGACAGCATCTCATTTCCTTTCCAGCAGCTTCTCTTGCCTCCAAGAAGACACCAACATTTTCCAGAGAGCCTCGTAGGAGCTCGAAGCATGGGTTCCCTTCTTCCTCCAGGGCAGCAAGAGTGCGCCCTCCGACTTCTTCCTCCGTGACCAATGGAAAAACAGTGTCTACTTTTAAAAAGCCTGCTTGAGTCAGTCCGCTCGTCTTGCACAACCTCCCCTTTCTAAAGTCGATGTACATGAAACAGCCTAACCAGGGTTCTCTGTGTGCCAGGTAATCTTGCTTGCAAAGAGGCTCCTGGAGAGATGCTGGATGTTGAGGATGCAGCTGTCAGTGGCCTAGACCACAGGTGAGCTCTTTAGCCGATTGGGTGGTGAAGGCAGGGCGGGGCCTGCCTGGAGGAAGAGGTCGCTGGGGTGTGCCTTTGAAGGCCGTCTCTGGTCTCCTGTGCCTTCCCCTCTGGCTCTTTCCCTCTCTCTCTGCTTCCTGGCTGCCAAGAGGGGAGCAGCTTTCCTCCGCCAGGCCTTTTCTGCCATGATGCTTCTGCCTCACCTCAGCCTAGAAACAGTAGAGCTAACAGTGAGCATGGACTGAGCCCTTGGCAACCACGAGCCAACGCACATCTTTCCTCCTCCAAGTTGTATATGTCAGGTATTTCATCCCAGAAGTGGAAAGGTGACTAATACAACACCCACTGTGTTCACAGTCCCAGGGCTTAGACAAAGCACGTACACCGGAAGGCAGGAGTCATAAAGGGCATGTAGGAACTCTGCCTGCCACGCCGCCCAGGCTCCTTTCTAGGGAGGAATGATTTTTCCTTTCCGGTCAGCTTCTGAATCTTCTCTGTTGTCTGGGGAATGAGCAGATTTCTGCCCTGGAGCACTGAGGGCAGAGCCTCGATCCTCTCCCACAGATGGCAAGACGTGGAAAGGCCAGAAGCACAGATTTCAGAAGGGGAGGGGCCTGGGGACATGAGCACTGGAGGAAGAGGAAGCCATGGAGACAGTGGGGCAGGAAGGGGTGGGTAGGGAGAGGCAAGGCTGGGGCCACGGTGGGAGTGGGGAGCCGGGACGAGCAGGGTGAACCAGGGGCTGTATTTCAGGTCCAAACTTGGTAGGAAAGAACGAGAATGAGAGGAACACGGGGAAGGTTTCGGGTCCACTGCTTTGACTTAGAAACTGCATCTTCTGGGGCACTTTCTAAAATAAACCAGTACAAGCCTAGATTTGCTTTTAACAAAGTCAATTTCTGGACTGTCTCCCCCTGAACGTGACACTGCCCAGACGGGGCCTGGTGACATATCTCGCAGGAGCTTCATAGACACCTCATCCCCCACTGACCAATGGGCAGGACTGCCCTGTGCCCTAGCAGCGTGTTATAGGGGAACCAGGGGTCAGAGAAAGTGCCATCTCATAGCGCGAGACATCCTCCTCAGCTACCAAACAAAACCCGTATGTCTCCTTCCCCAGATCTACACCAGGGCCAGAGACCTGGAACTCTCCCGGGAGCCCTTCAAGTTCGCGTCAGGATGGAGCTCCAGCATCTCTGTCGTCCTGGTTCCTTGTGCGTGAGAAAGTCAGCCTTGCCACCAAGTCTATGATCAGTACGATAACAGGTGACGTGGATAGACATTTACAAAGGCACACGCATTGCAAGATACTGTTCTTCCTGTTCTGAGGACGGAAACTGAGGCACAGCAAGTTACACGGCTGCTGGACGTCACCCAGCTAGTATATGCTGAAGCCAGGCATTCAGTCTAGGCGTTCTGGGTGTGCAGCTCGTACGCTTGTTCATAGCTACCTCTCAACAGGGACAAAAGGGTCAATAAACTGCAGTTCTCTACCTGAAAGGAGAAAGGAGACCCTGGAAGGGCAGGGAGAGAGTTTCGTGGAAGCTCCCTGTGTGCCACCTATTTCCTACCAGGCCCGGGAAGGTGGCGTGACTCTGAGCCCTGTTCCGCAGGGTGCGGACGAGCTGGCAGGATCAGATCAGCACAGCCAGTCAGAAATGCAGACTCCCAGAGAGCGCCCCAACCTGCTGAACCCGACCTGATTTAATAAGATCACCAGGTGACTCATATGAGCATTGAAGTCTGAGCAGTGCCCCCTAAGCCACAGTACTCAGACAAGTGTGGCCCAGCGCACGGTGACAGAAGTGTGCTATGTGCCCCATTCACACAGTCACCACTGGGCAGCATTTGCACTGCGTGTGATTGTGGAACTCTCAGGGCTAGCACAACTAAGGAAGGCCGTTTTCCGACTGATGCGGTCTGGATGCACGTAGACATAAATGTCCTCCAGTGGCTTGCGGATGCCTTTCTGTACAGCACAGCCTCCGGATGGACAGTTCCCCTGTGTTTATTCCCCTGTGGTCCGGTAGCCCTTTATAAAGTTGTTAAGACTCAGTCCCGAAGCAGCTGTGCTACAGGAGCACAGCCCGGGACCTTGGCCCCTCCTGACTTGGGCCAGAGCACAGCAAAGACAAGGATCATAGGCCAGATGATGTTCCAGGCAGGGCCAACCTGGTTGCCTGCCTGGCTCACCTGTTTGCTTCTTCAGCAGTCTGCATTTCCCATGCTCACATATGTAGTCTCATCTTCGGATTACTCACCATATTCGTTGCCAACTGCAAGCTCTCCAAGCCAACAGGCAAGCCTTATTAGGAAACTCAGCATAACCCTCTGGTTCTCCCAGCTGTAGGTAACGGGAAAGAAATGCTCGCTGGAAGCAAGCCTTGCCTACCTTCCTATTTTAAACCATATCTTCTCCACACTCCTGTCCATTGTCCATGCATCTTTCTGCTCCACACCATTTGACACATGTGGGGAAGGAAAAGAAACCTTCCCTCTACCCTCTTGTGTTCTATGATACGGATTTTGCAAATCAGGCTAAGTTTACCAATGGACAAGTGAAGTCCATTGCCCATGGGAGAAAGCTGGAGATGAGTGGCCAGAGCTTAGACCGACAGAACATAGTAACAAGAAAAGATGTGCAGAAAATGATAAGACAGAGGTTCAGGCTTCCAAAAATGGCATCTGTGGGAAGATAAGTAGAAGGTATGATCAAACGATACAGTGAACACGAGAACATATAAGTTAAAAAAATTTATTACAGTCAAAGAGACATTGCCATGAATCCCCCTCAAAATCCTCCGCCTCGCTTTGAACACACTCATCCCATCATCCTTGCCACTTTCTGCAGCAGCTCTGGAGCCCCCTTTCCTGAGTATCTTTAGTTGTGCTACCCTGACTGCCTCAATGTCTTGAATTGATTCAAAATATCTCTCTTTCATGGTCATTTTGACTTTGGGGAAGAACCGGAAGTCCCATAATGCCAGATTCAGTGAATGGCCTCAGAAGCAGCATTCACCGTATTTTTGGTCACGTCTTGTAAAGACACTCGTGACAGTGGACTCCAGACATGCTTCAGAAAGTGGCGAGAATGACAAGATGAGCACACTCCAAGGGAGGAACCCGTTAGCACAGCTCCAGCCCGGCCCTGACTTTCTGTCTTCTCCGTGGCTATAGATCTTGCCAAAGAGGAGAGTTACAGAACCCTCATTTCCCGGAGCTGTCTGCTGTGGATCACAGAGGAGGGCAGGTCTAGAAGAGTGTCTTTCTGCATCGGTGGAGCCTCAAATGCCTTCAGCTCGCAGTAGTTCTTGTGCCAAAGTGGCATCTTGGGTGGTGTATTTTGATGCCCTCCATGTGCTATATTTTTTGCTTGCCTATCTGTGTTAGGTCTCACTTCAGCAAAAGGCTGAAAGGGTGTGGACAGCAAAATGTTAAATGCATTCCAAGACTTTCACACACGTAGTTATGGAGTGATAGCTACCACATAATTAATTCTCAACAAATACAAGAACCACTCAAAAAACTTGAAAAACATGTCATTTAATTTTTAATGACCCACTGCTTTAGATAAAGAAATTGATGATCAGAAAAAATACAGCTGATTTTTAGTATCCAAGGGGAACTGGTTCTGAGACCAAACTCCAAAGATACCCAAGTCCCTTACATAAAATGGCATCATGTTTTCATATAACATATGCCATCTTCTCATATACTGTAAACTATCTCTGATTACTTATAATATCTAATACAACGTGAGTGCTATGTAACTTGTTGTTTTATCATATTGTAGGAGATAAAGTTAAGAAAGAAATTCAGTATGTACTCAATACAGAGGCCCTTCATTCCCATGGATTTTCCAATCTGCCTAACCTCTATGGGTCCTCTTATTTGACCTAAACTCTTACGTCTTGGATTAGCTAAATGCACATTGCAATAATTGTGATACCAAAGAGCTGCTAATGCTAAGATCCAGAGAAAAGGACCAAATTCTTTCAGAAAGAGATGTCTGCAGGGGCTGAGATAAACACCCTTCACTGACTTGGGCTTTTCTTAGGAGAAGCAAATCAAATTAAACTTGGTCACCTCTTCCGCTGCTCCCTTCCTCCATATTAGTAGTTTAATCTGCATGAGAGGGGCCAGGTGTGCACCCAGGGCTGTTTGCAGGACTGCTAGAGTACTTCACATTCTGGAGAAATTGCCGTCTGGTGAAGAGGCCTCCAGCGCACTGAAGAACAAGCTAGAGACCAGGCCTGGTGATTCCCATGCTTCTCCTGCAAGCAGTCAGTGCAGCACAGCAGGTCTCTTCTGTCCTCCCTGCCATGCTGACCCTTCCCGTTTCCATCTAGGGTCACTGCTTTCTGGGTGGACCCCTTGAACGTGACTGTCCCAGGGCTCACCCTTGGCCAGCCTCCTTGGCCCGAGTTCCCTCCATGGGCGATCACACCCACCTGGCCATGAGGGAGGTATTTAAACTTCTCTCTCTCCTTCTTTCTCTCTTTCTTTCTCTCTTTCTTTCTCTCTCTCTTTCTTTCTCTCTCTCTCTCTCTCTTTCTTTCTTTCTTGTGGAAAGTCCTGGAATTTCAGTCCTAGGAACTGCAGAAATGCTCTCTGATAGCACCCAGCCTTCCCCAGAACAATAATCGATCAGCCATGGAAAAGAACTCTAACTTAAATTCAGTCAGTAGCACACTGAATAAACCCAGTTATTTCATTCCTCTCTAGATCTTCCAGAAGACTCCAAGACAAAGTCCTAATCCTCAGGAGAGTCCCTGGGGATGCCCCTGGTCTTGCTCAGCTGATGTCCTAAATCTATGTCCTGGGCAACTGGAGGGATGGACAGTATATGACAGATGGGCGATTGACCCCAGGCATGTTTTCTCCATCTGAAAGAAAAGAATGCATGCCTGAGGGAGAGCCAGCCCCTGAGGAAGCAGAGCAAAGAGATGAAGAAGGAGATGAAGAATTAATCACATCCTTGGGACCTCTGGATCCAACAGTGATTGATGTCAGGCTATTCTAGGACTTTCTACTGATATTGTTAAAGAATTCAAAACTCCTTCTTTGTATTGTTTTGAGTTAGTTTGAGTTGGATTTTCTGTCAGTGTATTAGCTTTCATGTTGCTCAGTCACAATGCCCAACACCCACAACTTAAATGATGAGCGGTCTAATTTGCTCACAGTTTTGGCACATGGTCAGCTGGCTCCAAGGCAGAGACTTCTTGGTGGAAGGGAGCAGCAGACCAAAGCTGCTCAGTTCATGCCAGCCAGGAAGCAGAACAGGGGAAAAGTGCCAGAGAAGGAAGACCGGACATAGACCCCAAGGCTGTGCCCCCATTTCTCAACCAGACACTCGGGAAAGGGCATTCCATGAAGCTCCAGCACAGATCTCAAAGCCAACTGCCAGGGAAAAAGGAGATAGAAACAAAGGAGCAAGCTCACCAGTCAGGACAGGTCCATTTAGAACAAACCTGAGGGACTGCCCCGGCACTTAGACCAGACTGGCCACTCTGGCACAGGCTGTTGGGTCTTTTATGGGGTCTTGAGCACAAAACAGCAGGTATGAAAGGAAATGTTCAAAATGGGGCTTTCAAGAGGGAGGGCTCAGTGAGAAGGGGCATGGCTTCCCACCAAGGGCACAGTTTGAGGAAGTGCAGGGAGTGGTGGTTGCCGACCGAGTGCAGGGCTGAAGGATGATGGGAGTTTTGGGGTGAGCTGCGGTTATAGAGCCTCATTGCCCCATGATTATACATCTTCATTCAGGTATGCAAGCAGAGTGAGATGGGAGAGGCTTGAGGTGGACTCTGGTCAGCCTAGGATGGCAGTGGTCAGACGCCTTCACAAAGCAAGTTGCAATTCCACCCTAACCACCACATCCCCACCCTTTTTAATTTGCTACCAAAACACATCTTAAACCATACTTAATCTCCAAATAAAGACAATAACAGTTTAAGTTCATAATTCCACCTAACATAATACAACTATTCCACAGACAGCCAGAAACACAATGATCCCTTCCCCTGATGTCTGACTGTTCCAGCATTTTCCAAAAGTCCAATACTAGGTCTCTTCTGAGACTCAAGACATATCTTAACTGTGAACCTCTGCAAAAATAAACTCGTCACATAGTCCCAAGGTACAATGGCACAGGGCAAACATTCCCAGTCCAAAAGAGAGGAGTAGCAAAGAATCAGACCAAAGAAAGACCAAAATCATCAGGGAAAATCCCGTAGCTCCATATACAACATCTTAGGCATAGATGGTAAAATGTGGGCTCCAGAGAGCATTAGTGGCTTCACCCCTACGGCCTTGCCAACTGCAGCCCACAAGTCATCTCTCTGGACTGGCTCCATCCACATCCTACATCCAGAGCGCTCCCCTGCGGATGTTCCACATTCCTGACATCTCTGACTTCCTGGGGTCTCCACTGCACCTTCAGCTTCATCCTCACAACTTCACACACTGCCCTCTCAGGGAATTCCAGGCTTTCTTTGAAAATCTAAGTGGGAGCCTCCCGGATCCCTTACATTTCGCATGCCAGTAACACTGGCATCATGTGGACAACATTAAGGTCTACTGTCACTAGAAGTAGTAGCAAGGTCCCTCTGGACCATGTCTGCAACAGCCCCTGAGTACCTGAATGGCTGGACACAGTGAAATGAATCCCAGGGAAACAATTCCCAAAGACTCTTCTCAAATTAAAGGTTGGTACTTTTGTACCCTTGATCCCACAATGGATGAAGCCTTGATAACTGCTGAGATGCTTTCCAGGCATCTTTCTTGTCCCTTTGCAAACTACTTGTCTTCTTTTTAATGGTACTAATCTCTTTAGCAGCCACACTTCCTTTAGCCCCAACTTTATACATGGTTCATTCTAGGCCAAAATTTCAGTTTTTAAAAAATTTCTGCTCTGCCTTTTCCCCTTGATTCTTATTACAAATTTGGCTAACAGCAGCCAGTAGTACCCGTGACACAGCCTTAATGTTATGTCATCTAGAAATTTCCTCCTCTGGATTAATTACTCCACTGCCCTTAATCTCGGTCTCCTGCAAAGTCTAAGAACATGGACAAAATGTAGACAAGTTTTCTGCCAGAGTGTAACATACATGCCCTCCAACCACAATAGAGTCCTTACTCCCAACTGAAACTTTCTGAGCCTGGCATTTACTGCCCACATTTTGGTGAGCATTCTGGTCTTCTGAGCTCTGCACAGAATCACCTATCAGGCTCTACTTACAGCATCATAGCACTTCTCTAGCTGGCATCTCTATACCTGTCCAAACTTCTCCCACAAACCAGTTCTAGAAGCTTTTAAGCCATATGGTCGGTCAGATATAAGTCACAACAATGACTACACTTCTCTGGTATCAATTTTCTGTACTAGTTTTCCATTGTTGAGATAAAACACCCAACACCCTCAATTTAAAGGGAGAGAGGTTTAATTTGCTCAGAGTTTCAGTCTATGATCAGCTGACTCCTGACAGAGAGCTCATGGTGGACGAGTGTGGCAGAACAAAGATGCTTAGTTTATGGTGACTTGGAAGCAGAGCAGAGTAATTGTGCCAGAGAGGAAGGGGTGAGGGACCAGATGTAGGCCCCAAGGCTACAGCTCCATGACCTACCCCCTGGAAGTGTGCTCCACCAATTTCCAAGTCCTATCCCAGAGCAAATCAAATTAAAATTCCACCCTAACTGCCACAATCAATTACCATCAAATTCTTACCAATTCTCCACCTGTATGCAGAAGACCTCCAATTCGACATCTCTTACCTAAATCTCTGTCTAGGTCTTCAGACTCGGATATTCAATAACCCACCGATCTGGATTATTCTCTGGAACTCTTCAGTAGTACCTCAATGAAATACAGCCCAAACTGAATCTGCCCCACTGTCCTCCACTCTTTCCCCTAATTTGTCCCTGCTCCCATGATCTGCTTTTTTGCCAGCCTTCACGGCCCATCTCTTGCTGAAGTAGTTGCCCAAAGAAGGCAGCCTGTGGTCTCCACACCTCCCTCATACACCCCACACCCAATGATTCCTAAGCCCTCCTCTAGATACTTTTGAAATTACCCTCACCTCTCCCATCCTGCATGAAGGTTCTTGCCTCTGCCAATCACGGCCCCTTGCTTGGCAAAGCCTCCTAATTGTTCTCCCCATGGCTGGTTTCCTCTTCCTACACATAGCCTAAATCACTGTGCTCTTCAGATAGAAAATTTTGCCTCTCTGCCCCTGTCATTACCACTTTGACAGTCTCCTGTGTCACCCCATAAATTTCAGGATGGTTTGAAATTCTTTAGTGTGATATTCAAGGTAGCAACAGCTCCAGTTTCCATTTCTGGACACTGTTCCTCACCCCACCCCATGCTCCTGTGGTCGTGTTATTTTCAGAATAGTCTGTGCAGGTTGACACCTCCATGCATTTGCACAAGTAAAACTGCACCCGTCACCAGCACCTTCTCTCTGCAGTGTTTCTGACTGCATCCCACAAAACAGAATTATTTCTTATGTGCATTTCAAACATCATTTATAGAACTTTCCCCACTGCATTGTAATTATGCTTTGTTCAGAGTTTATCTTTTTCACTAGACTTATGAGACTCCCCTGAGCAATTAGATCAGACTAATTCACTTTTGCATTCAGGTTCTTTATAAATATATAATACCTAGCACAGAGTAGGTGATCAATAAAAGTTTCCTGAATTACATGGAGACAGATGAGCCATTGAAACCTCTCAGCTTGATTTCTCTTGTTCCCTGCTCACAACCAGCCCTCATTTCTATGCCAGTCAGTGCATTAGAACATAAACTCATTTGTATACTGGGCATGTGCTGCAAAATCATAATTATAATACATTGAGCAATAGGAAGAAAAGACTGACCAGCAGAGCATTATTTGAGCCAGTTGATCCCTGTCGAAGAAGGCAGAGACTGAATAATCTCTAGCTCCTGTCCCATTTGTGCCAGTCACTCGCTAGAGCAGATTGTAAAAGTACTCACAAATCCTCCTACACTTCCATTCTCGGCTCTCTGGAAGGTGACCTTGCAGCTCCCCCTTCAAGACGTAAATGCCATTTCTTCTCTTCTTGTCCGTGTCCTTGACCGTGTGCTTTGCAATGATCGATGGGAAAGTAGGAAAGTAGGAAATATGATACAAAGGCAGGCTGGGCACACTTCAGCACTGGTGCTTGCTCTGAGCTCTGGGGTACTGTGACACTTGGCTTCATGAATAAGCCAGACACCATCCCATCGCGTAACAGCTGAAACAGCTAGTCCTCAGGGGGCCCATCTGCTGGCTGAGCCAACAGCGAACACCAAAGCCTGCCCAGAAGACGTCACATCAAACCATTGACCCACAGAGTCATGCGCCAATACATGATCATTATTTGAAACTATGTAGTCGTCAGATGGCTGCTCACCAGCCGTGCGGCTTTGAGCCAGGTGTGTTATCTCTCCAAGCCTCCTATCTATAAATAAAAGGGGATAAATCCCCTTCCTGGTCCATGAGACTGTTGCAGGAGGAGCCTACAGGAGCATTCTGTGTGTGGATACAGAGAGTAAACCCCACAGTGCAGGTGGGGGAATTCAGCCATCCTGGGAAGTGGGGTCCCAGCTGGATGCCCAGGCTCCTAGGTCTCTGCCAGGAAGGTCCTGAATTAGTCATGAGCACTGTAGTGTCAGACACACTAGAATTTTTATTTCAAGCCAAAGGCCCTGGGTGAGCTGAGGGCTTCGAGGCTTGGGTGCAATGTGGGGAAATAAAGAATTCACTTTGAACTTCTGCAAGGTGCCAGGCAGCTGAGTATGCATCAAGACACTCCACTCTCCAGCTAATCTCCAAGGCTGTTGTGATCATCATCACCTCAAAGACAAGGAAGCAAAGATGCTGAGCGGATAAAGCACCTCCTTCCCACGCTGCGGGGCAGAGCTGGCCTTGAGGCCACAGCTATCTGATTCTCCACACTGTCTCACTGCCTGCCTGGACCCCAGCGAGTCTAGGATGAGTCTGGCCTG